GCTGCGGCTGCTGCTGTGCTGCCGGCGCCGCCGCAGCAGCAGCAGCAGCAGCAGCTTGGGGCCCTTCACTGTGGCCTTCTATGTGGGCCAAGTAGACCCCGAGGGCCTCCCCCACGGCTTTGGCCGCTGGCAGTCCGACGCCTACCACGGCGAGTCCATCGTCGGATACTGGAACCACGGTCTGCTGCTGCTGCTGCTGCTGCTGCTGCTGCGGCTCCCGCTGCTGCTGCTGCTGCTGCTGATGTTGGTGATGGGGATGGTTGTTATAATGATTTTGGTGGGTATGGTGGTGGTGGGGATTATGGTGATGAGCAGGGTGGGTTGTTGTGGGGATGGTGGTGGTGGATCTGCTGCTGCTGCTGCTGCTGTGGCTCCCGTTGCTGCTGCTGCTGCTGCGGGTGATGATGCTGGTTACGGTGATGGTAGTTATGGTGATTGTGGTGATTGTGGTGATTATAATGATGGTGGGTATTATGGTGATGATTGTGATGGTGGTGGCGGTTGTGCTGCTGCTGCTGCTGCTGCTGCTGATAGTGATATGGCTGCTGCTGATGTCGCTGGTGCTGCCAGCAATGCTGCCGCTATCTCTTTTGCTGCTGCTGTGTCTGTATCTGTCTCTGCTGCTGCCTGTGTCTCTTTGCGCCCTGCTCTCTGCCCACTTCTGCCCCTCACCTGCTGCTGCTGCTGCTGCTGCAGGGCAGCCCATTGGGCCCTTCAAGAGCCGCGAATTCGGCACTGGCTCAGGCTTTATGTGCATCCGCATCGCCTGGTGCAAAGCTAAGAAAGGAGTGCTAGGATTCGACACTTGCTTCGGTTAGGCTGCTGCTGCTGCTGCTGTGCTGCTGCTGCTGCTGCTGCTGTTGTTGCTGTGCTGTCGCTGTGCTGCTGCTGCTGCTGGTGCGCGTTTGCTGCTGCGTGCTTCTGCTGTGGATGCTCCTGCGCTGCAACTGCCGCGCCAGCTGCACCGCTGCTCCAAACTGCTGCTGCTGCTGCTGCTGCTGCTGCTGCAGGCGTCTCGGACGCAGAGTGCTGCGTCAGTGGGGCCTTCTTCCGCACATTTCCCAGAGTCACAATGTATGCAATAGACCCCAGCAGCCTCGCAGAAGAGACAGTGCAGCAGCAGCTGCTGCACTTGGCCAAAGACATCATGGGTTATCCCAAGCCCGCAGCAACCCTCGCTGTACCCTCCCCGAGGCCCCCCCAGGGGGCCCCGGGGGGCCCCCAGGGGGGCCCCCCGGGGGGGCCCCATGGGGCCGACTCCCAGGAGGTGGAGAATGTGAGGCTGCAGGAAGGGGGCAGGTCAGCTGAAGGGCTTTTGCTGCTTCTTTGGTGCTGCAGCTGCAGCAGCATTTGCAGCAGCAGCGGGCGGTGGCTGCTGCTGCCGCATCTGCTGCTGCTGTATCTGCTGCTATATCTGCTGCTGCCATCTCTGGTACTGACGCACTAGTTGCTGCTGCTGTCTCGCGCGTTGCTGTGTCTTTTGTTGGAGAAAAAGAAGAAAGAATTAAAGAGAAATGGATTACATGAGAAAATAATTAAAAGGAAAAAGAATTAAAAAGAAAAAGAAAACGAAAAAGAATTGAAAAAGATATAATTTGCTGCTGCTGTTTCTCCCCGCAGGGCCGCCTCGGAAGTGTGGAGGGGCGGCAGCCGCGGCTCCAGGGAACTCATCGCAAGAAATGCTGCTGCTCGTTCACGTGAGCTTCTGCAGCAGAAGCAGCAGCAGCAGCAGCAGCAGCAGCAGCAGCAGCATGAGTCGGCCCCTGTTGATGAGGTCGCTTGAAGTCTTTCGGGCCGCGCGGCTGCGGGGCAGCAAGTGCTGTAGCTGCAGCAGCATTTGCAGCAGAAACGGGTGGCGGCTGCTGCTGCTGCAGCTGTTGCTGCTGCTGCACCTGCTGCTGCTGCTGCATCTGCTGCTGTTATCTCTGTTCGTGCTGCTGCACTAGCAGCTGCTGCTGTCTCGGGCGTTGCTGCTTGTGAAACCCCTCAAGCGCTGCACATGCCCCTGCCGCGTCACTGCTGCTGCTGCTGCTGCTGCTGCTGCTGCTGCAGTGGACCTGAGCAAAACGCCGTCTGGCCCGCGGCTGGTGTGGCAGGCCTCGCGGCTGCCAGCAGCAGTGCGGCGAAAAGCCCAGGGCTTTTTTCGCTGGCGATCAGATCACCAAAAAAGGAATTTGGGAAAAGAAGAACATTACAAGGCCTGCCTCAAACTCGTCATCGACCACATGGACCCCCACGTCCGCTGCTGCTGCTGCTGCTGCGGGTGGTGCTGCTGCTGCGGGTGGTGCTGCTGCTGCGGGTGGTGCTGC